GAGAGAAAATATTCAAGATGTTTCTTAAAAATGTCGCTCTAGAACAGTTATCATTACATGAGATATCATTTTGTTTCGTTTTCAAGAAATGATATCAAACTCACTGATATTCTAACTGATTGAATACTATGATGATTGTTTCAAATCTTAAGAAATAATCATATAATTATTAGAAAACGTGTAGCTAATCTCAAATACACAAATATCTATATGCATTTCATCTCATTGAATAATCAATAACTCATACTTATAGAAGCTATTTAGAGAATGTGTAATCGCATCATTCGTACTCAAAAGGTTAAAAAAATTGCTTTTTTTTCTGTGTGTGCTAAGTACTTAAAGAAAGTCATGGTTCATTTAATGTCATATCAAAAGATCTTGAATTATGAATATAGTCTTCAATGTTTCTAGAAGAAAAACATATCTCTTCAGGTTTTAATACTATAAAGGTGTTGACGTTTATACGATACAATTTATAGTTAAAAATAGGGTAAATACCAAAATGATTCAACAAGGTTTATTTTCAATTATTGTTCCCTTGCCGTAAGCACTAGACAGAATTCATGTAATGATTCACATAGAATATACGTAAATAAAAGTAATTATTAAGTTCTCAAAGAAAGGAATTTCAGAAAATCTAAATGGGAGTAAATCATATTTTGAACTTCAATCAAATTGCTGTATCATAGTCAATAAATGTCATAGAGAACTCGCAGATGTTACTTTTTGTAGAGGATGTTTTACTCTACTGTTCTATGTCGTCTTAAGCTAAATTATATTTACGTGAACTAAATATTGAAAAGCGGAAAAAAAAACTCTAAATAAACCTTGTTGAATAATTTAATTAGTCTAATTTAAATCAGAATTATTTAGTTCTTTATTGTCGTTGTACTAGTAAAATAATTGACATTTTTTCTCTGCTTAATATTATCAAAATAAATATTCAAAATGTTTCTCTATTACTAGTCTAATTATGTAGTAAGCGAAATGTTAATGACGTCATTTGTTTTTAGTTTCTCACCATTCTTTATATTTGGACAGAATGTGTAAAAATATGAGATTTGACAGTACTAAATAGAAAAGATTAATTTAAATTATATCTGATTCAAAAATGATGAATATTACAAAATTCTATTTATCTTTTATGATTCGATGAATGTGATCAATACTCAGTATGATGAATATTAATTTTCTTAGTAGTACAAATACGTCGTGAGTCCAAGACTAAAAGATTTTTAAATAACTCAATAGTTGTTTTTATACTGATCAAAATATCTGAAATGTGTTTCTTTATTGTAATAGGTATCTTTCGTTTTTGATAGTATTTCGTTGTAATTTCAATTTTGATAATTATTTTAATTTTTCCAGATCATACAATTCATGTTCTGTGATATGCATAATTATGAATCAAATTTAGTTTGAGTGAGGTCATGAAAAAAACATTTTTGTGTTGATATGGTACAAATTGTTACAAATTTCTATAGTTTAAGAACGAAACATTTTTATAACCTTTACTATTTAGTACTGCAAAACATCATATTCGAAGCGCTTTAATTTGGTATAAAATTTATTACGAATATTATTTTAAATTACAGCGTTACCACCTACAAAAGTTTTCTTTTTTCACATATCCTATATATGAAACACTAATAAAACGAAAAACTAAATAGAAATGTGATATTTTAACGTCGTTTGGACATTACTGTAGACAGCGACATCGACAGGAAAAAGTTGCTATCTTTGTATTTTGATTGATGATGATCTCATTCAGTGTACTTATTGGTATCAGTGAGTCATTACAATTTTTCCTCATTTTAATAGCAACAAATATATTGGTTTTGTATCATTGAATTTATATTATTTTATACCATTTCTTCGAAGAAATTTCCACAAGGACATAGAGGACGCTGACTTTTTAAAACCTTTTTTTATAGTTCTCTTGTTACGTAAGTAAATACAAGAAATAAATAGTTAGATTTTCACTAGATTTAATTGGAAGCATGGTGAATGAGAGATAATATAAAATATGTAATTAACAATTTATGAATTCAAATATTTCTTTTATGAACACGTCATACAAATAGACTATGGATATGATTCAGTTAGATGCAAAAAAAAAGGAAATTGTTACATATTTGAAAGATATGACGAACGAAAAACATAAGTGTCAGTAAAGTTTTTCTTTTTAATATTTACAACAAACCAATTGATTTTTGTTATGTTGGAAGAAAAAAAACATGAAAAGTTTATTTAAATGTAAGGGTTTCAGACCCTATTGAATTCGTCTATTGACATATCACTGACGTGTTACGTTATTGACTCAAAATAAACAACACGAAAAGCAAATAAAAATGATAGATAAAAATACTTCTGTCTTTTTAGATATTATTTTATTATTATTTTTTACGTATTATTTCTTTATATTAAATACATCAAATGGCCGGAAGAAAAAAAGTTTTACTTAAAGTAATTATATTAGGTATGAAAATAAAATAAAAACTATAATATAACTACTATGTTTGATTTTTCCTTTTTGTTATGTTTAGGTGATAGTGGTGTTGGTAAAACAAGTTTAATGGGGCAATATGTTTCACATAAATTTTCAAATCAATATAAAGCAACAATAGGTGCAGATTTTTTAACTAAAGAAGTACAAATTGATGATCGTCTTGTAACAATGCAGGTGAATTCAAAAACTAACTAAAATTTTTATAGTTTATTTTTATTTTTATTTTTTTTTCAAGATTTGGGATACAGCTGGTCAAGAACGTTTTCAAAGTTTAGGTGTAGCTTTTTATCGTGGAGCTGATTGTTGTATACTTGTTTATGATGTTACATCATCAAATTCATTTAAATCCTTAGATAGTTGGCGAGATGAATTTCTTATTGTAAGTCATAGATTAGTTTATTTTATTAATAAAAAAATCAAATCACTTATTTCTTTTTAGCAAGCTGGACCACGTGATCCTGAAAATTTTCCCTTTGTGGTAATCAAAATATTTTTAATTAAAATTTTTTGAATATAAAATCTTTATCTATAGGTGATTGGAAATAAAACTGATCTTGATAATCGTGTGGTTAGTTTGATTTAATATTAAAATTCTTTTATTGTTTAATTTTTTTTTTTTTATTTATTTATATAGATTCCAGTACGTAAAGCACTTAATTGGTGTGCAGGTATATAAAACAAAAATAGAAAATAGAAAAAATTTATTGATGTGAAAAATTGTCACTTGTTTAGAAAAATCCAATATTCCACATTTTGACACATCAGCTAAAGAAGGTATTAACGTTGAAAAAGCTTTTGAAACTGTTGCACGTAATGCATTAGCGCGTGAAAAAGATATTGATCCAACACCAGATTTTCCATCACCAATACGACTTCCAGAACAAAATCAAAATACTGATACAAATAAATGTCCATGTTAATTCAAGAACATAATCGCTCGCGATGTTTTTTTTGTCTTTCTTTTTTTTTCATTGTAATAACGTCTATATATGTATAAATATATATTTATATTTATATAAAAAAACAAGCAGAGAAACTTATATTATTATTATTTATAATGTTGTTCGTATTTAAACAAATTTGGTGCTGAAACATAACTAATTTTGATTTGTTATGTATTTATGTAATTTTTGTTGTATGCATTTGTCTTGTTTATATGAACTAGATGAAACTTTATGTGTTGTTGTTGTTATTTTTATCTGATCAGTATAAATGCATATACATTTATTTTTTTTTTTTATTTCGAGCATGATTTCTTCCCTTTTTTTTTTTTGTTTTCGTATTTATTTGTAATTCTCGCTTGAAGAAAGTCATAATGACCGGTATTCAAGATTCTTTTTATTCAATGTTCTTAAATATAAAAAAAAAAAACAGAAAGTCTAAAGTATTTATTTACTCTTTTATTACCATTTTAATCATTGAGAAGGTCGATAGTATTAACATGTTGGAGGCAATATGATTCTATAGAAATGTCAAAAATATTTGTCCATGGGTACAGCTTAAAAATAAAGAGAAATAAAAGAGTGAATTTTATATCAAATAAAAGTTTGTCAAAAATGGAACTTTAGAGTATAATGAGTGATGATATCAACGATTCTTAAAAAAAATATCTTTTCATATATTGAATTTTGTAGCATTATCTGTTCTGATCATTTTAGTGACAAAAATTCAAATTTGACAAATAAATAACAATGTTGTCAGAGCTACAAATACTGAAAAATCTCAAATAGATCTATTGCTAGAACCCATGAATTTTTTCAATACTTTTTTATACTATAATTATTAGCACAGATAGCTTCATAGAACTGAATAGACGAAAAAACTTTTGGAGAACCTTGGATTTTTTATGTCTGACTGCATCCTGATTACTATAATGTGATTCAGGGGTAGATCATATCGTTGCAAAGATGATAGTGTCAATTTATTTCAAAGGTTTGAAATAGGAAAAGAAACAAGGAAAACTATTAGATCATATACGTTAGATATAAATGAATGCAATACAATATAGAAAAACAAAACATAGTTGTAGTTTATCAGTGTTTATGGTTAGAATCGAATTATTTGTTTTATTATCTTATGCATAAATTAAAGCATTGAATTAGTACAATATCATGTGAAATCTATAATCTTTTCTATCGTTATGTTAATTACCGAAGTTAAACAAGATGTGTAGATTTCTACTTGTTTTAATAATAATAATTGATTTTCTGTCTTGTTCCAATGGACAAAATACCTGACAGTAGATGACTATTGTTTGTATGAAATAGAAGAAAGAATCCAAATTTCAAACACAAATAGAGAAACTAAGCTTTGTTTATCTAAGTTGTATTTTACGCAATATATAAAGAATTGTGTAAAAGAAAAATTTGACCTAGATTCGTTATTGATCAATTTCTAAAATTATTTATATTCATAGATTATCGAAATTCACTATTTGTTTTACAATTTTCTCATAGCTGGATTAAGACAGAAATATTAACTTAGTTTCAAAATGCATGTGGTTGCTTTAATAAGGTAAATGATTTACGTTTTTTTTTATACTTCATGTATTCAGTAATGAAAATCAATTTTGTTTTTTAGTGGTGGTAAAGATAGTACTTATAATATGATACAATGCGTTCGACATGGTCATGAAATTGTAGCATTAGCTAATTTACATCCGAAAAAAGATATTGGTAAGAATGATTAACATTAAAAAAAAAAAAAATAATTTTCCTTTCTTTTTTTTTTTTTCTTGTAATTTTTAATAGATGAACTTGATAGTTATATGTATCAAAGTGTTGGACATGAAATAATTGATTTATTTGCTAAAGCTATGGAATTACCATTATATCGAGCAGAAATAAAAGGTGATGCTCAAACGACAAATAAAGAATATGATCAACCAGTTCATGGTGATGAAGTTGAAGATTTATATGAACTTCTATCTCAGATAAAGGCAAGTAAAATATTGTCTATTGTCTTTATTTTTTCTTTTATTTCTAAACTAATCTTATTCATATTGTCTATATATTTTCCTTTTTAGGAAAAACATACAATTGAAGCTGTTTCTGTTGGTGCTATTTTTTCTGAATATCAGAATAATCGTGTTGCTAATGTGTAAATCTTTTTTCTTTCTCTTTTTTTTCTTGGTAATTTATCTTCATTTTAGTTGCCAACGATTAAATCTTCAAGTTCTTGCTTATATATGGCAGCGTGATCAACATGAATTACTTAATGAAATAATTGATTCAAATTTAGAAGCAATTATAATTAAAACAGCTGCTCTAGGTAAATAGAATTCTTATTAAAAAAAAAAAATTTTGTGTTTACATTGAAATACTTAAATTGACTAAGAACAATCGATAAGACATTCTTGGTTTTCGTTTCTTTTTTCTATTCAAGGTTTACAGCCGAAGGAACATCTTGGAAAAACTCTCGTCGAAATGCGTCCGATATTGTTTAAACTAGTTAGTTATTTTTCTCAAAAAACTTCTATGAGGATTTATTGATTCCATAGTTCGTTATTAATTCAGTTTTTTTTTTCGATTTTAATATAAATGTTCTTGTTTTAAAAATATTCTATTAATTTCTATTTACTAGGCTGAAAAATATGGTATAAATGTGTGTGGTGAAGGTGGAGAATTTGAAACATTAACATTAGATTGTTCTCTATTTAAACATCAACGAATTGTTCTGTAAGTAAATTTAAGTTTTGTTATGATCAACCTTGGTCAAGTAAGATGAAAGTTTTAGAAAAAATTGAAGACTTTTATGAGTGTTTATAGAACGTCTAATTCATAGACCTATCGATCAGCAATTTAGAATCCATTATTTAACATATTTGTATCAATAAGAAAATGATCTAAATAACATGAGAAAACTTTTGAAAAGATCCGCGAGATTTATTATAATTACTTAAATAGTGTGATAAATTATTCGAATTTTATTTAACTATTTGACTTTCAACTTCTTGTTTGCAAAAATCGAAATTTTGATTTATTTTTTTGTTTTTTAAAGTAATTACAATTCTCCATCCAAAAAAACCATTAGTAATTGTGAAAACGATAAAAAGTTTTTCCAAATCAATAAAGAATATGTTATTAATACCTTTGTTCAATAGCTGTAGTCAAACGTATGTATATATATATCATCCGCAGTTAATGAGTTAATTAATTGAATTTCTATTTATATTAAATATCAAGGATTGTTCATTTTTTCAAAAATATTAATACGAACAATTTTTTTAAATTTTTGCAATAATTTAATTAATATTTTCTAATAGATCTTAACTACAGTTTATTATGTGTTATTAATTCATCCATTTGAATTTATTGTGCATATCATGATTAACATGTTCTTTTTTTTTTTGATAGTGATCAAGTGAAAATAATCATCACATCGTCTGATTCTATTGCTCCAGTTGGTTATTTAAAAATTGAAAAAGCTCATCTAGAACCAAAATAATCTTCATGTATGTTAATCTCATTCTTGTTTCTCACACAAATATATTATTACTATTTTTGTAATTTATTTTTGTTTTTTTAGGATACATTCATAACAAAATATGCAAGATCTTTTTTTCTTTTGTTTCTGATTACCGTTATGAAATAAAGCTCATAACATACATATCATTCATATAGTTCAAGATCAAAGAGGTATATAGCTAATGTCACTATTTCGAGTCATAATCATCGATCATATGTTGCAATCAGGTAGTAAAAAGTAATCTTTCTCAACATTATTGTCCATCCCCACGGGAGGAGAAGTTTCCGCTCGTGAGAGGCTATCATTATTTCATGTTTTTCTTTTTGTTTTTTTTTTTTTATTCGTTTGAATACCTACTTGTCGGTACTTAAGATATTTTTTGTTATGCAAATAGAAAAGATGATTGTTTGTTTGAAGGTGTCATAGACTACTCTTGTTGGATTGTCAAAGCCGCTCATGCATCGATCTCATTTACACTTCACAAATACATATATACACATACATTGAAAGATAAAAACATGCCGATAGACGAAACGATCCATTCAAGAAGAAGAAGAAGAAGAAAAAAAAATCAGAGACAATAACACGAGCGTGAGATATCACACTTTTTGACAAGCTCAATCATCATGAGAAGGGCGGTACCTTGAACAAATAACAATTCAAAAGAGAAGATATTTTAAATATATACACACACGTTTTATATACAAGTTATCACAACATATATAATATAGAGACAATATCTTTATGAACCACCAATGAATATTCTTTTATATGGTACCTTTTTTTGTTTTTTAGATAAATCAGATCTCTCTTAATTCTTGTTAATGTTTTATTAAAACAAAACAATCAATTGTGTTTATTTTTTCTTTCGTTTATATTACGTTTTTATTTTATGAACTTTTCTTTATTTTGCACGTTTCGTACACATTTGATAAAGCCTGATAAGTATAATCTTGAAGTCAAATATCAAAGAGAGAAAAAAATTATTATTGATTTGTAGTCAATATATTGTATGATAGTGCCTCCGTAACTCAACCGATATATTCCTATCGAATCTTTGAATGTACATTATCCAAGCATGAATGATAAACGACCGATCGTTTGCTTATACTTGTATAATCTTTCTATCCAACTAGTCGTCTTAAAGAAGCACTTCGTTGATGAATACTTTCTTTCCCTTGATCTCTTTTCTTTTGGCGGAAGACATATGTCGTTAATCATTTCATGTAAGCGCAGGAGGGATACGACAGGTAGTGACGAGCATGATAAGTATGCCGAGTGTTGATGGACGTTGCAAATATAGAGAAAATGAGAGTAAGTAATGCCGCTTTAGTTGTCTACGCATTTTCTTCTACGTTATAAGTAAGGTGTTTGTATGCCTGTTAGATTGCACATCCGATCGAATGAATTGAAATGAATGACGGCATTCAAGGAATAAAAGCAAAGAGAAAAGGAAATTCAAATCGGATGTAGAATGTTCGCGCCGACGTTAATCAAGTGGAAACACAAGAAGAGGATGCACTTTGAAATTGAGACGATGATGAAAGTACTTGCATACCTAATCCGATAAATTGCTGCCAGTTCAATGAATCAATAGATTTTTTTTGAATGCAGACAAAAAAAAGAAAGAAAAAAAGAATAAGAGGAAAATGAATCTTCAGTTTTATGTGAGTGGATAATTTTTCAAGGTCAAGCTCTAAAGTAAAAAAGAAAACCTATTATTAGTCTATATTGATGTTGATTGAAGCGTTTCTCTTCATTACATTTTAATCTTCTCTTTCATTCGAGAGCTTACTATGTTGTGTATATAGTGGTCAAGACAAAAAAAAAACACAAAAAGCAAGCAACCGGAATGATGGTGTGAAAGGGCGACCGTGTGTATGTATTGTTACACGTCGTTTTATCTTATGCCGCCTGCCTTGATTGGCCTTATCCCCTTGCGGTCGAAACGAAAGGCGTGATTGGAACCGCCTGTTTCAACATACACACAAATATAGACAAAAAAAAAACAGAATGAACGGCTAGTTATATAGACAAGTGGGAGTGCGACAAGACGTGTGATGTATATCAAGCCTCCTGCTGACCGATGAAGCAAACTATTGATCATAATGATTTAACCGACAGAGAAGAAAAAACTTTGATTCATGCAGAATAAATAGATAGATAGATAGATAGATAGACAAACTAACTGTGATGATGATGAGGGCAGGGCATATGAACTAATCAACGAACTTCACTGTTTGACATCAAAACGGCACGTACACAAGGCGCATCATTTTCCTTGTTAAAATTGTTTGGAATCTCTCAAGCACGATTGAATTTCCGTATCAATGGTAACATTCTTATTTGAGATAGAAAAGAAAAAAAAAGATGACTAGATTCAATTGAGAAAATATCTTATCAAAAGAAATAAAAGACTATGCCATTTTCTTTTTCTTTTTGTTCATCAAAATAAAAAATTTTTAAAACAAAAGAAAAAAAACGAATCCCTTGAGTGAAAAAAAGGTCATTCTCATTCAATAAGAATCTGATGTATATCTTACACCTTTCGTGTGCATGCGTGCATATATTCAAAATTAGTTATTTGACTTTAAAGAGATGGAAGAAAAATGAGATTTGGGGTGTGGTAGCTCATTTCTTCTTATTTTTATTCTTCAAAGACACACCGACTTTTAAATAGTAATGCGATAATGATAATTACTTCAAGTATATATATATACTTTCAAATCAACATAGAATAAAGTTTTCCGTTTGAAAAAGAAAAATTCGTGCACGTGTGTTTGCATGTATGAACACAAAAGAAGTGATGATGATGATAATAGGTTTGACAAAAGTGTGCAAGCAGGCAATAAAATTCGATAGTGAAGAAGATCGGTCTAATTTTTAAATGTATGCTTATATGTCTGCATTCACAACATATGTGTCAAATGGATTCTTTTGAAGATCAGATCGACACCGACCGTCCTTTTTCACTTTTTAAATGTGACATGCAAGTGACACCACCCATCGACGACACGTTGATTTTTCTTTTTTTTTTTTTATAGTAGACCTATATATATAAATTATTGATTTTTCAATGATTATAGACGTGAATGCTACCGGTTCAATACTCATGTGTGCGCGATTTCACACTCAATTGCCGATTGTTTATATTTGCTCGTCTTTGAAATCGACTACTCACTACCACTCATCATCAAGGGGAAAAGAAGAGAGTAGACGCGCGCGCGCGTGAACGTATATATATGCCTTTCATTCTAATCTGAACATTTCGACGTATATGGAACGAGAGAAGCAAAATAGCTGCCGGCACTTCATATACGTATGTTTGTGTGTCGCTATTCTCGTTTGAACTTTTTTTTAAGTGCATTAATGCGCGTCAAAGAAACAACAGTCGAACAGAAATAAGCACAATAAATTAGGAAAATCTTTCTTTTTCTTTTTACTTTGCAATTGTCTTGTTTTCGAAATACTACTTGTTGATTCAATTATTCTTTTTATAAAGTTCTGTTTATACAGAGACAACGATAATCTCCACGTCGATGATGAAGACGACTGATTATTTGAATCAACACACATCGGACAGCTCAAAGAAAAAAAAAGGATCGGTTTGAGATTAAATTTTTGTTCGCTTTGATCGACACCGCCCTATTCTATTGCACGAATTTTTGTTGTTTTCTTCTCTAAATTAAACGCAAACGAAAGTATATTATTTCTTTCTTGTTCTTGTCTGTGTTTTTCTTTTTCTTTTTTTTCTTATTTTTTTCCATTGGTTAATATCTTGTTCTGTTAATCTTAACAACCAATACGAATCAAAACCGTAGGATGATGAACACCAATGTGTAAAGAGAGGCGAAGGGCGGTATGTTCACAGAAGAGACAGAAAGGGAGAACGGATAATCAAACAACATCTTCATTTATAGAGAGAAAGAGGAGAAAAAGGAAAGAGAGAAAAGGCGAGAAATAGAAATAAGCGTCTCGTCTTTCTTTTGTACATGGTGTCAAAGGCGGAGTCAAAGATAGATACACTGCTTAAAAAAAAGCTAAAAAGCGGAAGAGAGAGAGAGAAAGAGAAAGAGAGAAATATCGACTAGTGTGAATATGTGTGTCTATTTTTCATTCAATCGAATTATAGACAAAATAGAATGGTCCTTTTGGCTCATCCATTTCTCATTCCGACACACAACCTGTCTTCCACGCCCACTAACTTGATCATGGTAAGTTTTACTAGTATATGACAAGAAAATCAATCTTAAGATTACTTATCGTATACAAATCTAAAGTCTTTAGTGATATATGATATAGAGATGTCTCAGTTTTTTTCTACTATTGTTGTTATTGTAATTCTCTAGTAAATTATATATTGAATAAAACAAAAAGATTCTATTTAAAAAAAAGTCTTTGGGCAATGAGACTATTCGTCTGGTCTCAATCATCATGGTGATCAAACGAACGGTCAGCTATAGCTTAAAGCAAGCTCTCTTCGATTTGCATACTAATCATCAATCGTAGATGCACCGCTACTTCATCACATTGTGATGCATAAACATTCGAGCCGCTCGCTCGCTCGCCCGCCCGCCCGCCCGCTTCTCACTTCGCTTGTTGTCCAATTAAGTTGATACTAAACCGAACACATTACTCGTCATCTTCAAAAAAAAAATGAAAAGAAGAACGAAAACAGGCAGTAGCAATTTGGACTACTTGCCGGCAGATTATCACATTAAAGTATGTGTCGGCATCGAATAATGAGCCTTAAACAACAAGGCAAACACACACGTGCTGTTTTAGTTCAAGCTAAATTAGCAGATATAAATATATTTAGATCTTCTTGTCTGCTTTTGATCTTTTCTTTTTCCCACCCACTATCCGATTTTTTCAGCTCGTTAGCAATGACGAGCCACTTGAAAAATAAATGCATGGGATCGTATATATATATATTTTCTTCATCGGAGGTGGAACTTCAAAAAAAAAAGACGACGGGTGTATGTGCGCATGATTGATAGACAAATGAGAAATCATCGTATTACCATTTCCGATTCGTTCAATTAGTAGTCAAATGATTTATATGTTGACTATTTAATTATTCATTTCTTTATTTTTTTTTATGTTTTGAAGGATCGAACAAATAATACTATGCCTCGTCCAACTATTGCTCGACCTATACCATTAAATCCACGTTCAGTTTCAACAACTAAAATTGAAAAACAATCAACATCACCAATACCATCATCATGGTTCCCATTAGATCGTTTACATACAGAAGCTATTATTCGACATAAAGCATTACAATTGTTACAAGCAAGATTTCCTCTTAATACAGTTGATTTTCTGTCTCCAATTCCACCACCACCACCGATTCATCCTCATTCACTTGCTGCAATACTTTCATCATCAAATTCACCCAATAGTTCATCATCATCATCATCAAGTTCTTTCAATTCAAGTTCGTCAAGTCCACCACCATCATCATCATCACTTTCATTAGCATTTCGAACACCATTATTACCTCCACCTCCACCTCTACCTCAAACACCCATATCATCACGTAAAGAATCATCAAAACAATCTTCAGATAAATGGTGGAGTGTTAATGAACATTCATCAGGTTTATTTGGTTCGGTAACACGACGATGTAAACGTTGTCGTTGTCCAAATTGTATAAATCAACCATCAAATATTTTATCAGATTCATCAGCATCAAAGCGTCAACATATATGTCATATATGTAAAAAAATTTATGGTAAAACATCACATTTAAAAGCTCATCTTCGTTGGCATGCTGGTGAACGTCCATTTCGTTGTCATTGGTTATTTTGTGGTAAAGCATTTACACGTTCAGATGAATTACAACGTCATTTACGTACACATACTGGTGAAAAACGTTTTGCATGTCCTAAATGTGGTAAACGTTTTATGCGTTCGGATCATTTATCAAAACATTCAAAAACTCATGATATTTCATCATCATCGACAACACAATCAACAGCAATTATTAATCATCAACCAACTAAACATCTTGAAACAACTATTAGAAGTAATAGTAGTAGTATAAGTAGTGAAGAAATATGTGCAGAAATTTCATCACATGAAGATGATGAACAAGATGAAATTATTGATGTGCAATATTGACACTTATTAGAATTTAAATAACAGTGATGTATAAACAAGACTTTTCTTTTCTTTTTGAATGTCTCGGTGTTTAAATGTGTGTGGTTCTTCTTATACTATTGTATATGTATATATAAAATAAGATTGTCATTGTCTGCTTTTATTTATTCACAGAAAAAAAAAACAAACTTTAATTGATCATAAAAGCGCTTTTTTTTTTGTTTTAAATTTATTATATTTTATAAATGATGCAAAATTTGGATAGACCAACAGAGATATGTACTAATCAAGTTGTGTGATTGATTAATAGCGATAAAAAAAAAAAGAAATCTAAGATATTTATCTTTAGTTATTATCTATTCCTATTGATGGTCGATGGATATGGGATGAAAAGAAAAAAGAACTTGTTTATGAAAGGTATATGAATGAACTTGAAAATCTATTGATTAATTGATTTATGATTAAAGTCGTCATCGAATAAATAATAATAAAAAATCAATTTCAAATGAATTATTAAAAATTGATCTAAGATCTGGTTTAATTCATTATCGAAAACAAAATCGACCTTTACAATATATTATTAAAACAAAAGATAATAACAAAATTACACTTGATGATGTTATTCGTTAGTTTAGTTTTATTTTTATTTTTGAAAAGGATATGTAATGAATATAGAATTCTAATCAAAAAAAATTTTTAAATTCGAATATGATTATTAGATATATTCGACATAAGTCATTTATTTTGCTTGACTAATGATTTAGTCTCAGATCAAAAATCACTATCGATTGCTAAGTGAAGAAATACTTTTAAAGTGGAATGTCTATGGAATACATTTTTGAAATTCAAATATAACTTAAATAGCTAAAATAAATCGAAAAGATGGCATGTTTTCTATACACAAACAGTAATTTCTTCGTTTTATCAAGATATTCTCAAAGTTGCCTTATTACACGATACACCTGCAAAAACACTTCCGTGTCTCGAAGAAGCTACGATTGCTTGAGTTAAAACTTTTTCTATAAGCATTATATAGTTTCTTATATGTCTATATTTTAATTTTTAAAGAATTTTGTACCACTGATTTTTGATAGGTCTTACAAAAAAATAGTTCCGTAAAAAAAAAAAAGAAAGGAGATTAAAACTCACCCTTAATATTCTCACATCTTTTTGAACGAAGTATCTGAAAATTGCAAGTTTATTCTTATTATTACCTAAGAAAATTTAGAAGATTTTTTGAATTTTTGACTAACTCTATGAAATATTTTCTTATAGACTTTCAAATCTTCAGATCCCATATGTTCTTTTTTTTTTCTTTTTAAGAAGCATCATTTAATGTAATGAGTGAAATTTTTTATATACCGCTTGAATTTGAAGAATTTGTCAGGTAATAAATATCTTAATGAAAGAAAACTTTATTTGATTAACTAGTATGCCACAAGTTCATGAATTTCTCTTATATTTACTTAATTATTTTTATTGGTTTTTTGAAACCATGGATAATACTTTATCAAAAAATGAACGATATATGTGAATTTAATATAAAAACTTTAAGATTATTAATAAAATTCTTTTGTTTCTTTTTTTTTTTTTATATAGAGATCGTTCACAAATGGAAAAAAATCGTATTCGTATTGCATATGCTAATTTACTTACTTGTCTACGTGAACTTGGTTGTAAATATGCTATATTATTATTAGGTATTGATCTAAAAGATTTTCATCATATGCGTAATGGCGAGTAAGAATTAATTAAGTAGATAATAAAAATTTCAATAATATATTATTCTATAAGTCTTTATTATTCATGTACACATATTGATCGAACTATATATGAATCTCTTTTTATTTTTTCAACATATTTTACTTGGATTACATTTTATAGACAAAATTTTGATTCGATTCGTAATGAATTAGCTCGGTAGAATTTAAAGTTTTCTTTTAATTCCTTCTATATATTGTATATTTAAGATTATTTCGAGCTGATGGTGATGTTGAAATGCTTCAAATTCCAACGACAGAAGTAAGTCGATACATAAATATGATGTGATGATAAAGAGTGTTTCAGAAATTTCGAAACGATCCAAAACTTTATCGTTCTTGCATCTAATAAAAGTTGATTCTTTTAATCTTTGGCAGATGATTGAATCTAGTCAATATTAAACAATTACAAAGTTTGAGATCTATAGCTTTTACTAATAAATGCGCCATAAATAATGACTGATTCTTCATCATATCGTGAAACAGCGTTAAAACTAATAATCTTAAAAGTGGTCGTAAGCATTGAACAATGCTCAATATGAAAGACTACGATAGTCGTTACTTTGAATCAATACTCTTAAAAATTGGAGAAATTTGATGAAAGACAACCATGGTGAAATATTTCGACGTATAGGTTCGATCCATTTGCAAGAAAATCGATAGAAACTTATGATAAGAGTTCAAGTTTGCACTCACGAGGTAATGGCCTTTAATTGATTGACATCATTGTCAATGATATTTTGCCCATATGTCGAGACATTATTCTAAGAAGAATTCTATGAAGATTGGAGCTAATAGGACTTACTTCGAAAGTTGTGACCATTTTAATTAATTACAAGGATTTTCACAGTTTGCAGTATAATTCTTTGAGTCAATTCGATTGATAAAATATCTTCGATAGTATGACAAATCACAGACATTCCTTGCTTAAAATCATCAATCATTTCGAAAAATTAGATCTCGTAAATTATCTAATTCTTTACACATGAAGAAAAATATTGCTTTGTTTTGACATATGTTAATCAAAGAGATTTTGAGAATAATATTTTTTTTGCTTCGATTTTATATTGAAATCTCAAATCTTTTAATTAGTAATAAATAGATGCAATAATCTGTCGAATTTTCATAGAGTTTAGAAGGTCGAATGAAAAATGATACAGTAATTGATTCTATAAATCGACATAAACTTATTGATTGCACTGAATTTTTTTCAAAATCAATGGCTAAAAAAGCTGCAACTACAAGAATAAGTGAAATACAGAATAGAAAAAATTCTCTACAACGTACAAGTTTAATGTTTTGGAATTTCAATAAAAAATCTAGTGAATCAAATACATGGATTAAACAAAATACGTCAAAAAGTCGATTAAAAAGTGTTTTAGCAAAAGATTTCCATGAGTAAGTTGTTTGTATTACTCGATATTTGCAAACATTTAATTATGATATTGATTAGACAAGGTTTGATTTTTTGATTGTTATCAAAATTCTATGCCTAGTTATCAATAGAAGATTCCGAAGAAAACGATGAATTATATTCGTTTGAACTAGATATGAATTCACCTTATTATAGTCAAAGACAAAAATTATTTATTTCTCAACGTAAAAATCGTTTGCGTGGTATTTTAACAAAACAGTTAAAAAGTCGAAATCAAAGTCTTATTGAAGAACAATATCGTCATTTAAAGAGTAGGTAGTTTCTCGTACGATCAAATTTAAATTTTATAATTCATTGAGAGAAGATACAAAAATACATAAACAATTAAATATGGAAGAAATTCAAAGTAAAATACGAGAAAGAGAAAAAGTGAAACGGTAAAAAGTTAAATAGTTATTCAATAAGATATTTTCTATTCTTTCAATAAAAAAAACAACAAAAGAGAACGTCTTATTAAACAACAAATATTAAAGTAAAATAATTTGAAAAATGATAGACTTTCATAAAAATTACATTGTTACAGTTCTTCGTTTTATAAAAATTCATCAATTCTACCTGCACCACCAAATCCACTGGATAATCCTCGCATGTATATATATAATTTGTTAACAAATTTGTTTTTTTTTGTGTAAAAATCAACTCTTTACAAGGAAAAACAATCAATCAATTCTACCTAAAATTCAATTTCAATTGAAAGAAAAGTGATTTAATTGCACTAAAATTTCGTGATTGAAGTGAAAATATTTATTATAGTATTGGAATTATTGGCAAATCTTATTCAGATTTTGATTTAATACGCTTGACATTAAAACCTAATATTGCAGATAATATCAATATGCCTACAGAATTTCTTGTTACTTTACCAGATGAAATGTACGTTTATTTAATTACTTTTGTTTTTCTAAGAAGTATTAGTTTTTTTCAAAGGAATAACACAATACTGCATTATGATCAAAGTAAGCATCATAAGTAATATATTAGATTATTTAGAAAAGATTGTTTTTATAGTCATGGATAATAATCATTTAGACACTAACAAATATCAAGTATAATTGGAACAACTACTTGGATAATTGATACTTACGATGGATGCTTTCTTATTGCAGACTCAATAAAACATTCAATAGAATAAGTTTATATTTGTTTAAAAGCTCACAAAAGGCAATTAATGCATACGCTGCTTAGACTTGCGAATAAATTCGAGGACACTCGAGTTTTACTCGATTTCAAAATGTGGCGCGAAGCTTTGACTGTCGATTATTGAAATAAGCAGAATCTCCTAAAAAAAAATTAATCGTGTCTACGCTTAATCACAGAAGAATAGACCATAAATTTATGAAGTAGTGAATGGTCCTTTTTTGTCTGCTATTTTTGAGATATCAAAACCCAATTATTGTCTTTGCCATGTTATTATTAAATTTCAGCGTTTGCCCGAGTTCGCCAGCATTGGAAGGCGAGAAGTCGATAACTTAAAAGATTTATTGAAAGATATATTGATATAATTGACCAGCTTTGGAGAGGATTGAAGGTGTTTTTAGAAATAGGTGAGCAAAAAACAAAGCAATAGAACGCTAGAACCTTGCTGAAAAAAAACGAAAAATTTTGAAGCTAACGAGGTCGTCTTGTCTGCTTGGAATACTCGTGTTAAAACTCAATATTATGATTATAAAAAGTGAATGAAATTAACCATTATATAGAAAACAAAAGTTTTTCAGACTTTCATAAACCATCAGATTCTATGAATTGATAAGTGTCAGCTATTGATACAACGCGTGGGTGTGGACAAGGATTTTCTTCATTCATACTTGTTCAGGTTTTTCAATTATCTGAAGGATGCTAACATAATAGGCGAATCCACTTATGAACGTGAAAGAATCAAAATATGAAAAAGAAGAAAAACCATGATTTGTATTGATAGACTCCTTGAATTAAACAGCTTGTTTCACAGTCGAGAAATGCCATTTAATCTTGTAAATATTTCTTAGAAATAGCTCTTTATATGTGCATTCGATACATGGCAAAAGAAAACCCGTAGCGATCTTCAATGAGCACATGTCAAATAAAACGAAAGTGCTAGTTTGTTTTGCGCTTTTTTCAAACTCAATTTTTGAACAAAAACACAAGGAAGTTTGCTTTCACACGGTAAAACCAATGAGGTTTAAAGTGTTTTTTTTTAATAGGTGCTTTGATCAAACAATCTTCAGAAAATAAGTAGCATGTTAAAGAAAACATGTTTTTTCATAGTGTCATTCAATATTTCGTTTCTCTTGGATTCTAAGAACAATATTTTTCATAGAAAAATGAAAGACTCACTCTGATTCAGTCCTAATTGTCTTAAAAAATGCTTTATACATTGTTGCGGACAGAAAAACGTCCAGTCACTTTCAGTCATTGAGATCTATTTACTCTAAAAGTTTCAAAACTGTTCATCCAGCTGTTCTCGAGGAATTTCATTAATCTATCTATATAGCTTTGATGCTTTGCGTGACTTCTCATTCAAATAATAATTTGTTACAAATTATTTTGACTATAATGAATATTATATCAAAAACAGTATCCATATTACAATGATTCTAAGTTAACTGCACTTGCTTTATTTTATATTAAACTATATAATATGACTCACATAATACAATGATATTATATTAACAATAAAATAGTAAATTCTCATGAATAAATTCAAAAAAAAAAAAACTAGAGGTCCAACATGATCTTCTATTTTTGCTTTGTTTAACTTGCAAAATGTTTTAAAGTTTGATAATTTCTATACCATATTGACCAAACACTTTTCAATTTATATTTAATACCATTATCTTTTGCCCATTGTTTAACAATTGGTCTTACACGTGCATAATTATATTTAGGCATTGTTGGAAATAAATGATGTTCAAGTTGATATTGCATTCCACCCCATAACCATTCCATAAAAAAATTATCGCATCGAGCATCACATGTTGTTAAAAATTGTGTTTCAACAAATGAATGACATGAATTATGAATCATTTCTTCACTTTGATGTGTTGCTGTAACAATCATAGCAACAAGAAAACCACCAAGAAGTATAGAACCAAGAGCTACTTGCCAACCAAGCATATAAAGCCATATATAACTTGGTAACATAAAAAAAAGTTCACTATAATTTAATGTACGAAATGAATGTTGAATTGATTGCCATCGCCAACTTAAATATAATAATGAATAAACAGGTACAAAATATAAATGTTGATAAGTTCGAAACCAAAAATCTTTTTCTTTTGAAGGAAAAAATAAATGAAATATAGGATCATTTGCAACATCTGTATCAATGCCAAGATTATTTGTATAAATATGATGAGTATTATGTTTATGTGACCACCATGTTGGACTAAATGCATTAATAAAACCTGATAATGTTCTACATAACCATCGCATCCATGTACCTCTTCCATGTGCATAATCATGTCCAATCCAACCCGCTTGTTGCATACCAAATCCAATAACAATTATAGCTAAAAGATCATAACCCCAATAAAAATGACAAAATGTACCAAATAAACACATTAAATAAACTGATATCTGATAAAATAATTCCCAAAATATTGATCGATTAAAATAATCTTCTTTAATTAAATTTTGTCGTAATTGTCGAAATGAAAGTGTAAGATTGGTTGGTTCTATATATGGAAGTACATATTGAACATGAATAGAAGAACATGGTTTTAAATAAGATAATCGTTTAATAGCATCTTCACTATGTAGAGCATAAAATGCATCTGTTGCATCTTTTCCATTTAAATTCTGTAGAATTTCTCGACCACCTGGATGTATATTTTGCCATTGTGTAAGATCATACCAATGTCCATTTATAAATAAATATAAACGATTATTATTGATGAACAATGATGAATCATAATGTGTTGTTGTTAATATATTATGATTTGTTTCACCATTAGGAGCCATTATAAAATTATAATATGATGTTATAATGTGATAAATCTCTCATGCACTGAGATAATGATGATCGATGGCTGAAACAAGCAGGTCAGATTGTTAATATTATCAACAAGTACCTATTAAGTGCAAACAAAAATGATGAATCATAGAGGCGAACCGCAAAAGGAAAAGAATGCAATGGCGTGATACTAAATACTTAAAGAACAGAAAAATGGATAAATATTAGTTGTCTTAACATGCATCGCAAGTAGACCCATTATTGACAAAGCAACGTCTTTTCAAATTCAAAGCAAAATATCATTTTGACTTTGAGCTTCCATTAATATACTGATATCTCTGTTGAATAAGTATATGATTTCAAAAGAAGATCGTCATTTTATCTTACATATTTCAAATAGAGAAGTTTTAAAAGTACAAAGAAAAGAATCTTCATCTATGTTAATGTTTTTAATCTGTATTTCTCTTATTTGTATGTAAAATTCAAATCGAATCACCAAATATTTTTATTTAATTGATGTATTTATATGAAAATAGATTAATTTCAAAAAGAAAAAAATAATAATAAGCTAAATTTTCTGATATTTTCCAAATTTCAATCTATTGTCTTTCCTTTCATTTGGATTCACATTTATTCAATTGAGAAAGAAGATATGAGAGTCGAAATTAAATCAGACAAACATGTTTAATAAGCTTGACTATATAAACACGTATAGATTGAATAGAAAAGATAGAAAAATTTCATTCATACCAATACTACATCTCAAAAAAAAAAAAATAAAGCTAAAATCTTTATATTTTTTTATTATACATATACAATATTTGTATATATAATATAAACAAATAAATAACTTTTTACAGTGATAATAATTATGAATGACACTGATATTTTGTATGATAATTATTTTTATTTCCAACATTTGTCATGTTTATCTTTTATATCAAAGAGAGAAAAAAAAATCGTACGACTTTATTTTATCTTCTACTTTACTAACAACACAAGTATCATCATCATTAGGTTGATAAAATGCAATAAAAACTTCTGTAATAGATAATATTATTTTTTTTTAATATCTATGGTGTATGATACAAAAATTAAATTAAATACAAAGATAAATGTCTATTTGTCGTTCACCATCAACAATCTTTCCGTAGATTATATGATACTGATCATTATCAAACTAACGAACAATAAAGAAAGATAACGCCCTTTTTCTAATAGTTTCTTGTATAAAAACCGAAGATTTTTGTTGAAAATTTATCGACTTTAACGCGACAGAATTCTTTTAAATACTGTTTAAAAAAAAAGAAATAAAAAAGTCTACTTTTGCATTTGACAAAAAATATCTATTGAACAGAAAAAAGATCATAGACTCAAAAACATGTTTTTTGTTTTTTTTTCTATTCATATCATTAAAGACAGATTAAAAAATAGAAATAAAGAAAACAAATCATTCGAAAAATAATAGAATACATTACATTGACTATTTTTCTATTGAAAAATTTATCTAATAATCTAAAAAACAAATTATATTGTGCGCACACTGTTTTTTGAACACAGTATGATACAATAAGTACATCGAAAGCAGTAGGTATTCTAGATGTTTTGCTTCTGCTTGCACACTTGCCATTGACAAACATTGTCACAAAATGATTGAACCACAATGAGCAACAAGATGTCATCGGTCACATGATGAACCAATAAGAAATTTGAAAGAATAGCAACATCATGACTTAAGACAAAAAAACATGAACATGGCCGTCCTTAACAAGATATATCAAACGCTTGTTCGACTTAACTGAAAGTTGTTGTTTAGTAAAAAAAAAAAAAAAGAATTTGAAATTCAAAACCTACTAAAATAATACCTTTGAACACTAGTATTTTTATCTTCAACATTTTTTAGGAAAAAAAATTAACCTAATCAATCAAATATATCTTATGGCTTTGAGCAGGTTTACCACTTGTAAAATTTAATTCTCTATCAATTAATATCTTACTGATCTATCTCAGATCATTTGAATGAAAGAAATTCTGTTATCATATCACATTAATGCTGAAGAAAAAATTCTCTTTTTATCATTATAATAAAGTCGGAAGATAAGTAATGTATTCATCGGTAGAGAATGACATTCAGCATTTAATAGACAGTACTAGAAGCGACCTATGGATAAAAAGAATTTTTTTGTGCCGCTTAACTTGTTTTTTTTTTTAAATAATATATCAAGTGTTAAAATTCAGCTTTGAGTATGTTTTTCCAGAAGTTAAGGCGCTTATCAACTGTCACTCTCATTAATATTTCTACTGGAAATGCAAAACAAATATCTTTTGTTACATTTTATTTATTTCAATAAATAATACAAAAATTAAATATTTCGTATTTTTTCTTTGTTTAATAATATAAACTGATACTTAAAAAAAAACAGAACATCGTCAAAACACACACACGTACAAATTTATCGTTTGACACGATTATAAGAAAATCATTGGCGTCAACAAATACGATTTTATTTCGACAAAAAAAAAAAGAAGACTTCGTTTCAAACCTATTTTCTATAGAAATTCATTAAATGACAATTAAAAATGAAAGAAAATAATAAATTATTCGATATTATTCAAAACTAAGGTTATCCTTCAATACGTGAAAGAGCAATGTGTCCTTATTTTGTTGTGTAATCTTTTTAGCAGTTAATCTAAATTACTTGACAAGTATGTCAGCATTTAAGTTAATATGTGCAAACCATATACTTAAAATTTTTTAATAGAAAATAAACGACAATAAATCAATATTTTCATTGTACGTATCCTAATTATCTCAAAAAAAAATATTTGAAAACATTTATAGAGTATTGAACACAGAGAGTTATGAATAAAATCGTTTGAATGGTGCCTATATCTGTTAAACGTTTATAATTTTACTTTTGTCAATTCACAAAATAAAAGAATTCTTTTTTACTTTAATAGTCTTAACAGATAGAAATCTTTTGTTGGATCAAATCTCATAATTGTGCATTTTGTTGATTACGGATTAAAAAAGAAAAGCTTTATTTCTTTATCATTTATAAGTAATCAGTAAATGTTCATTATAGTTTTTTTATAAGAACAAACATGAAACATATATTTGAGATATTTGAATTCGAAATCATCAATTTCATCAACAAGTATTAGATAAGTTTTACTTGAAACTTATAGTAAGAAATAATAATTTTTATTTTTGATACTATCATTGAAGTCAATTATGATATAATGAGAGACAAAATAATCTTCTTTCAAACTCTCTGTTTAATATAAATCTTCATATTCACAGAAAAAAAAACAGTTTTTCAAGGTGATACAAAAAAATTTTAGTAAGGTAATAGAGTATGAAATGAAACTTTTTTCTTCTCTAAATGCTTTTGTTATCTTGCAATATTATTGTTTATAGCTTGTCTATGCTATATCTTTTAATGAGTATAATAGTGTCTTCGTTATTTTATCATAATGTTGCAGAATGGTTTTTGTGATAATGTTCGTTTATGTTTCTATTTCTTGTTTATGTACCAAAAATGATACGTAGATGAACACGACTAATAATTATCTGTTATTTTTCTAGTTCTATTAGTTTGAGAAAAAAAATTAAATTAATTACAATAATTTGTACTATGTATGATGAAGAATCATGTTATCTGTATTTTGTTAGATTAAGTTAATAGAAAATAACATAAACAATAAGAACTATTTTCTAATGAATAAGTTTTTTTTAATTAATAAGATATGAAATATAATATTGTTCGATATTTAATAATTGTTAAAATAGACACTTGATATTCATATAGTTGTTTTGATGTAATACAAAAATATACAGAGTTTAAAAGAGTAGAAATAAAAAACGAATCTGTTGTAACATAATCTTTGACTTCTATTGTATTCTAATTAGATTATATTTATCTCTCTAATATTACTGTTTCCGTTTTTGTTCATTAGCAGAATGATTTCGTTTTTTTTTGTGTGGTTAATCTCAAACAGAAAGATAATATTAAAGATGAAATTTTTGCATTAATATACTATTATCACTTTTGAATCTAGACGGATTTACATCAAAGCAGTTTAATTGCTATTTCTTATTGTAAATTAGCAAGAAATATTTCTTCTACGTAGTTATACTCAAAAAAAAAATAGGTCACAAAAATATATCATTTGTTTTATTCTAAGAAATATACTTGAAAAAACATAAAGAACGCAAATTCAACATCAAATATAGAACAAAGAGATAAACTTAAACCCTGTTCTCTTTCAAAAAAAAGTGAATTTTCGTCAATAACACAAAAATTAAGATAAATGCATGAGAAAATAGCCTGAGATCTGATCTTTCATAAATAACATTGTTTTTATTTGGTGCCTCGCTTTTTTTCAAAAATTTCCATGATTTTTTGCTTGATAAATATGTTATTTTGTCAGACACAATGAAAAGCCTTTTCCACTTTTTATCTATTTGTTTATTCTTGATCATGCATCACTGAATTCTCGAACAATCTTCATTAAAAACAAGAGCTTCATTTTTTATTCCAACGACCATACCAAGATGCAGGACATCACTGAAGAGCATGGTTTTTGAATCAAGTATTGTTACTATTATATAAAGAGGACTTCTATAATTAGAGCGCTATTTTTTGAGAGCTTTTTGCGATATTAAATAATTTATCCCTGGTCTTTTCTTAAAACAAACAGCATTGTTATGCTCTGTATCTTGACAATAGGGCTGAATGCGATTCGAATATGTCTGAACCAAGATCGACTTTTGAAAGATGTTAAATGCGTTTTTTTTTTGCTTTAATGTAAAACTCGTTCATTTTTCTCTACGTAACATTATTCTATATGTCCAATCTTTTGTTATTTGATTTTTCTTTCCTATGCTATTTATCTCTCTATATACTCTTGGTTTATATAACAAGATATTTTCTACAAAGATCTTTTTGTTTTATTACTGCTTTCCTAACAATAAATTTTGCTTTTTACATTTTCATCTTTTACA